CACTGTAACATTTTCCTCTTAACCTCACATCTAGAACTGTAAGTCAGGAGATCAGGAACACCATCTGAAACTCTGACATTGCATGCCCATTGCCTTAGATGCAGTCTGGCACACAGTAGCCGCTCAATACATATTTGCTGAATGAATGGCTTAGTAGGCAAGATGGGTTTGGAATTCACATACCTGGATCCTAGGCCAGTGGAGTTTCCTGCCTTTGATGTCCCCAGAGCGAGGGAATTCTGAGAGTTTGAAACATGGCCTGGAAGTTGGAAATAGCACCAAATGTTAGCATGGTTGGAGAGCATGGTTGGAGAACAAATGGTTGGCCATTTGTTTTTGGTCAGATAAGCTGCTGACGTAGGAGAGTGTGTGTGTGTGTGTGTGTGTGTGTGTGTGTGTTTAGGACTGGGATGGTGTGGGGCTTGTGTGACTGGAGATGGGAGATGGAATTCCAGAGTTTCATCCTGCCTGCTTTCCTGCCTCCCCCTTCCCTCAGATAACACCACCAGCTGTTAGGGACACAGCTGTGGCTGCCTCTTGGGAAGGAGAGAAAAAGGCCCTGTTGCCCTGGGTGAGTTCCCAAGCTGTGGAGTTCAAAGCAGACCTGTGAAGTTAGGAGCTGGAGCATAGAGCTGGGAGGGAGGAGGTGAGAAATCAGTGAGGGGCAGAGAAAGGCAGCACTTCCACTTTGATGTTCCCAGCCCAGGGCTTCAAGCAAGGTCTGGGTGGAGTCCCAGCAGAAGGTTTTAGCTGTCCTCCCTCATTCCAAACTCTTAGATCTAATTAACCACTCCTTCCTGTCCTCCCAGCAGGATGTTTATCCAGTTCCCTGATCTCACTACCTGAGCAAGCACACTCTTCTACACCTATGAGTGTATGTACTCAATGCACACTCATGCCCCAGCACTCATAAACAAGCACACTCTACAGTGTACACCCACACGCCATTAGACACAAGCAAGCAGTCTTTTACACCCACGAATGCATACCCCACTAGACACAAACAAGCATACTTTTTTACACATATGAATGTGTGTACCCAATGCACACTCATATCCTCTACAAATGCAAGCAAGTCTTCCACACACATGAATGTGTATACCTAACATTTCCATGCACTCAAAAGTCCAGACTGTCCCCAAGCACCTGCCTTACAGTACACACAAAACTTGCACTCACAGAATGCACATGGGCTCACACATCCACAGGCACAGGGCCAAGCCTGACTCTGCTTTCTAGGTCAGGAGCCAGCCTGAGGTAGAGTGGGTGAGGGCTGTTGAGCTGCTGACTCTGGAGCTGTTCCAGCAGGCTGGGCTATCCTCTAAGGGCATGGAAGGAGGGACAGGGTGCTTTTCTTCCAGAAGCTGTTCATCTTGGGTCTATTGCAACACCCTGAAGAAATCACCCAGGAGAGAGACATCCCCCAGGAAACATGCATGGGCCTCTCCAGGACAGGGCAGCCTTGGGGACTCTGGCCAACAGTTCTGCCTTAGTTGCTGATTTGCCAGATTCCTCTCGATAATTTAGTGAAAAGTTACTCTTTCTACTGTGGTTGAATGGCTTTGGAATGAAGACCCAAGTTGTCATTACCTTTCTGAGCACTTTTCTAATGCTTTAATTCAACAAATATTTATCAAGGGCCAAGTTGGGGATGGTGAATGAAGAGCAGGTATCTGTCCCAGGTCTAGTGCCTGTCTGGTACATGGGAACTTCTGAGCCCCTGGACACAAAGGTCAGCCTTCAGCTACTGGTCCTATTTACTAGTCTTTCATCTTCTATGTTGGATGGTGCAGTGTGGGACAGAGACAGATCCGTGCTGGGTGAGGGTTGAGGCTGGCTGGTTCTGTTCTTTTCAGGATGCCACTCAGGCCATCTGGCTCCAGCTGGCTCTTGGCAGGAGACCTGATCTTATTAGCACTCCACCACCATGGCTCCATCATTGACCCCCCTCCCTGCACCTGTCCAGTTTTAGTAAATCCCCTTGTAACCCTGGTCCCCAATTCCTTCCCCTCCTAATGAGTCTGGTTTGTGTCCTAAGATTAACTGTTTCCTTACTCCCTTGGGAGGCTAAAGAATTAAAGAGATTCATCTACATTTTCTCCCGTGGGGTCTCACATTTCCTGTCTTGCTCAGTATTCAAGTGGACAGTTGAGGGAGAGAGACAGGGACTTGATTATAAGGGCAATATAAACTCACTTGCTTCCCTCCTTCTGTGTTCTCGACTTCAAAGTGTGTGGTCTTGGGGGCTGGCAGAGTGGCTCAAGTGGGAGAGTGGGAGAGCACCTGCCTAGCAAGTGTGAGACCTTGAATTTAAACCCCAATGTCACCAACCCCCACCCCCCAAACAAACAAAAACAAAGACACAGGATAAGTTCTCCTAAATACTTTTGGGAGAACCAGGGAAGATCTGGGATTCTTAGAGATCTCAGATGGAATGTCTAGAGCAGTAATTTTTACTCATAACAGGGCCATCTATTGTGACCTGACCAGAGCAAACTGGAACCTGCATAACTCTTAGGTCCTTCATGATTGGTAAAGGAGCCTAGCCCTAAGAAGTCTGACGCAGATAACCTTTACTACCCAACCATGCTGTCAGGTTATACTAAGAGCATTTCAGCTACCTGCACAGAACTTCTGTTAAATAAGCCTGCAGAGGCAAGTGGGCCCCATCTCGTTCCTGCTCTGTGTACTATTAGATGGATGGAGCTCCACATTCTATTAGCTGTCCTGTCCACTGTTTTACTGATTGCCAAGATTCCAGAGGCAGGGTCTGGTGCCAGTCTGTAGGTGACACCAGGCAGTCAGGAGTTCTCTTTGGCTGAACACAAGTCAGTTTCTGGATCAAGTCTATGGCACTACCCCTAAGTGTACAAACCACTGCTGGAAAGGATTCTTATACTCTATCTAATCAAGGGTGGGGGATGTTTCTTTTTCTTTTTCTTTTTGTTTAGTACACATTTTAATTTTGTAACTTTGCCAAATTTTGCCTTAGAGGCACCACAGTGAAAGAGTTTTGACAGAAAAGTGATAACCAGTACATTTTGAACACTCTGGTGCCTGGACATCATGAGGTAAGGGAATGTCTCTAAACACTGGGCTTTAGTCTCACACAAAAGAGCTTATTTTAAAGTAAATTACAGGTCTCCTAGTATCATCTACATTTCTTTAATGCTCAACAGATGACAATTCCAATTTTAAAAAAGTTTTTTTTTTCTTCAGGAGCATAGTGATTTAGTTTATGGATTCAAGACAGTTGTGCTTCAAATTCTGACTCAGATAATTGGTGACTTTAACTGAATTGCTTCACCTCCCCATACTTTAATTTCCTCATCATTAAATTGAGACTAATGAGAGTATCTACCTCTAAGATTTTGATGATTGAAAGAGATTAGTACATAAAAGTATTTAGAAGAATGCCTGACACACAATATGTGTACAGCACACAATTCTCTGAGATGGCACCCATAGGTTCATCTTCCCACATTTCCTCTAGGTGAAGATCATCAAAGGCTCTCAGGTTCTTTCTTACCTTTCCCTCCAGCCTTCTCACCTATATTTCCCCATCACACCCTAAGGCTTTGGACAAGCTTGTCTTCATTTTTTCTTTGCATTTTATGTTCCTCTCTCCTTATCTATCCCCGTGGTTCTACCATCTCTATTCTTGGCAAACTCCTGTTCCAAAACTACCAACATGCACTCTACCAGCAAGCTACATCTCTAGTCTTCCTGCCCAACTTTAGGTGGCCTCCCTCAGTCTTGGGGGTGGTAGAAAGGGTGTGTGATTTTCTAATCTTATCTTGTGCACCCTACATCTTTCCTGCCCAGAGGTTCTGGAGAGGTGACTAGATGGGGCAAAGTGAATTTCTATAGGGTTGTGGCCACAATGCCCTCTCAGTGGCTGGCAGCCTCTTTTTCTGCATCCTCCTCTAACTCAAATTCCTGACCCTATGTGGTGTTATAAAATCCCCTGGTCCGCGAAAGGCAGTAAGAACCTGAGGACTGACTGTGTCATGTTTTCACAGTGTAATATTTCATACACTTCTATACATGGACTCTTCTTCTCACTCCCAATTCATCCACTTACTCATTCAACAACAATTTAGTGATCTCCAGCTACACGCCAGAACTGTGGTCCATGTGTGCTTGGAGAAGAAGAAAAGCAAACAACCAACCATAACAGCATTCACCCTATGTCCTTGGGCAAGACATGAGCCTTGGTTTTCCCCCACATTTAATGACATGATTTTAGAAATCACTTTGTCCTGGGTTTCTTTCATCCTTTGACTCTGTCTTTAACCTTCTAAAACTCCCTATACCATCTTGCAAACTCCCATCTGTCAATAGCTTATAAATTCTAGAGAAATCCCCCTATACTTGATCTGTAAATTCTGAGAGAGAGAGAGAAAGAGAGGGAGAGAGAGAGACAGAGAGAGAGGGAGGGTTGAGACTAAGGGGTATAGAACAACGAGTAAGAGTAAGAAGAGAGTCCTAGTGGGAGGTTTAGTCTGGATGTTGGGTGCAGGAAGTAGCTGAGGGACAAACCCCCACTAGGAGGGCTATGCCAGATGCTGGGACCATCCTGCGAAATCTCACACCTTCCCTGCCCCCTGGCTCGAAGTCAGGTTGGATTTCAATCTGCATAATTTGTCCCATTTAGATGGTATGCAGAAGGGGTGAGAACAGGAGGGTGGAGAGAACTGAAGTGGTGGTGAGGAAACTGAAGGGAAGAGGCTGGGGTGAAGGTGGGTGGCAGCCAGAGGGTGAAGGCGGGGCCAGGAATAGCTGCAGGCTTGCAAAGCACAGATAACTGTCAGACCAGCACTGCAGGGGTCAATTTTGTCTACTTGCCCAGTGACAAGAAGAAAAAAAAAAAGTGGGCTGTGACTTAAAGATCTTAAGACTTACAAGAGAGGGAGGGGTTAGCTAGGAGGTGGGAAGAGCCAAGGAGGAGACAGAGAGACTCAGGAGGGTGCAAGGAAGTGTCTTAGCTGAGTCTGAGGGTAGAGGGAAGTCTGCAGGACAGAGACATCCTCCAGGATTTGAAAATCCAGAGGCAGCTACTCTTGTGCGCTGGAAAGGGCTCTGAGCACCTCCAGTCCTTCTCACCTTCTGAGGCTCAAGCCAGAAGCTCAGGGTGCTTGCTGGTGCCCTCAGGACTTTCTGTCCATCTTCTCTCTGCTCCCCAGTATGACAGAAGATGACAATTTCAGCATGTACTATGGGGCTGACAACCAGTCTGAGTGTGAGTATACAGACTGGAAGTCCTCAGGGGCTCTCATCCCTGCCATCTACATGCTGGTCTTCCTCCTGGGCACTACAGGCAATGGCCTGGTGCTCTGGACTGTGTTTCAGAGCAGCCGGGAGAAGAGGCGCTCAGCTGACATCTTCATTGCCAGCCTGGCAGTGGCTGACCTGACCTTCGTGGTGACCCTGCCACTTTGGGCCACCTACACATACCGGGAATATGACTGGCCCTTTGGTACCTTCTCCTGCAAGCTTAGCAGCTATCTCATCTTTGTCAACATGTATGCCAGTGTTTTCTGCCTCACTGGGCTCAGTTTTGACCGCTACCTGGCCATTGTGAGGCCAGTGGCCAATGCTCGGCTGAGGCTGCGGGTCAGTGGGGCCGTGGCCACGGCAGTTCTATGGGTGCTAGCTGCCCTCCTGGCTGTGCCTGTCATGGTGTTCCGTACCACTGGGAACATGGAGAATAACACCAACGTGCAGTGCTACATGGACTACTCCATGGTGGCCACCTCGAGCTCAGAGTGGGCCTGGGAGGTGGGCCTGGGGATCTCATCCACTGCTGTGGGTTTCGTGGTACCCTTCGTCATTATGCTGACCTGTTACTTCTTCATCGCCCAAACCATTGCTGGCCATTTCCGCAAGGAGCGCATCGAGGGCTTGCGGAAGCGGCGCCGGCTGCTCAGCATCATCGTGGTGCTTGTGGTGACCTTCGCGCTGTGCTGGATGCCCTACCACCTGGTGAAGACCCTCTACATGCTGGGCAGCTTTCTGCACTGGCCCTGTGACTTTGACAGCTTCCTCATGAATGTCTACCCCTACTGCACCTGCATCAGCTACGTGAACAGCTGCCTCAACCCTTTCCTCTATGCCTTCTTTGACCCCCGCTTCCGCAAGGTTTGCACGTCCATGCTCTGCTGTGATGGGGGCAGCTCCCACAGCAGCAGTGGGGAGAAGTCAGCCAGCTACTCTTCGGGGCACAGCCAGGGGCCTGGTCCCAACATGGGAAAGGGTGGAGAGCAGACACATGAGAAATCCATCCCCTACAGCCAAGAGACACTTGTTGACTAAGGGCTAGGACCAGAGAGAAGCCTTGTGTCCTGGCTGTGCCCCTTGCTTTCTAAGAATCAGGTAGTGTGGCTGCACCTCCGCTCTCACAGGTTCCCTGCCTCCTGGCTCTGTCTTGTCTTCCTCTTTACTGCTTTATTCTTTCTCAGAGGTCTGTGGTTTAATAGAAAGTGATTGAGCCCTGCAGATCTAGGCTCAGTCACTTCATGTCTGTCAGGCTGATCTTGCACAGGTCTCTTAACCTCTCTGAGCCTCTGTTTCTCTATTTGTATAAAATGGGATGAAGTCATATGGATCCTAAAACATTGAATTCTGAGTCCTGACTCAATAAAAAATAGTTTCCTCTACCCTTTTCTTAGCTCTCTAGAGCTCCTTTCTCTTTTAGTTTTCCCTCTATCTCTGTAATTTTTACTGCTAATCCTCACCTTCTAGTTCCAACCCCTCTCCAGAAGTAGGTTCCCCACCCTCAGTCCCTCACTTACTTCCATTTACCTCCTGTTCTGCAGGGTTCATAAGGGTTGAGAATCCTGAGGCTTAAAAGACTGACTGGGTTCAAGCTCTTTTCCTGTTTTCTGAGAGCCAGCTAGGGGCAAGAGTGGGCTGAGTGTTAGCAAAGCATTAGAGTGCTCCAGTCTTCAGAGTCCGGAGCACTGCAACCTTCCCTAAAACTGGATCAGTTCATGGTTACTTCAGACAATGGGGCTAGACTGATCCCTAAAGAGAGTTCCTTTCCTGCAGAGCCTCTGTGATGCCAACTAGATGTACTTCCTATAAATTTCCCAAGACTCTTTCCTCTTTTTGTTTTCCTCATTATTTTTTATTGTCTATGAGAATTGGAAGGCAAAGAACTGATGAATACTGTGGGTTCCTCCACTTCACTATATTATTAGGGAGTTGGGAAGGAAAAACAGAGCAAAAGGGGATCGAGAGGTGTCTGTATTTCGTCTGTATGCTGCTTGGCTCCCCTCCCCAAATCCTCATCCCTTTAGCCTCCTCCAGAACTGTGAACTGCAGATCTTTCTCCTGTTTCCCCCTCTCACCACATCATTCCCAGATCTTAGTGCTACCTGGTGCCAAGGTCACTTGGTTGGAATGAGGATGCTTGCTTTTGGTCTGTATCAATATACATACATATGTACATATAAATATATACACATATATATGGATGAGTATAGCATAAACAATGTTCATAGATGAATGAACTTAGATGAACCCCCTCCCCCACTTTCCACTGCACTTTTGCTCTTTACACAATGCCCTTAGGGAAGAAGGGACACATGGAGGCAAGACAGAATAGAAATGAGTCCACTCCCCACTGGATTTGGGGAGATTCTGGCGGCTGGTCCGTGCTTTAGGAAAGAAGTCTATGTTTGCATTGGACTGTCTGTAGGGAGCTTTTTCCCAGGACGTGTGGAGTTCAAGGCTTGGGAAATCCTACTGATCTGGGTCCCAGTTCTCTTCCCTGTTCCATAGTGGAGAGAAGAGGCTGGTTAGAGCTTCCTATGGCCCCTTCCCCATGCCTCCCTACTTCGCTTTGAATATATGAGCATTTCCCTCACAACGCCCCCCTTTCCAGGGTCTGTGTTCCTCTTCCTAAGGACCTGCTTGCCATGGGGTTGAAAGGGGCAGAGCTTTTTTTTTTTTTTTTTTTTCTCTCATCATCATAAGGACTGAACTCCTTTCTGGGGTCTGGGGACTGAATCCCAGTGACTGGAGCAGCCTTGGAGGGACTGACAGCATGCTGTCCATATCACCAGAAAGGCCTCAAGGACAAAATTTATAGCGGGACCTTTGTGAGCTGGAAGAGGGCATGCGTAGTCTGGGTTTTGCTTTTGGACAACTCTGGAATGAAGGATAAGACATGTGCCATGGAGATGGGAAGAGTCCAGCTTGATGTAAATGGGCGCTTTGACCATCCCTGGAATGGAGCCTGCTCTGGAGCAGAGGGTGGGGGAGAGAGAAAACGGCTCTTCTCAGTCTCCCAGACTGAGGTCAGACTTTCCATAGATCCACTTTCTCTGCTGAGGACTGCCCTCAAAGCATCCAGTCCAGGCTGGAGGAGGCTTCTAGAAGGTCAGAGGGTGCTTTTGAGGCTCTCCTGAGTTAACTGCAGAGACTATCTGACTGAAACTCATCTGTGGTCTGGGGCAGATAGCAAAGGAGGCCACCTCGTCTCCTCCCCACCTCTTTTTCAGAGTATCTGTGTGGCTATTTTCTGACCCTATTACTCATTGTGGTTCATCAAATAAAACTGTTTTGTATAACTATTCTGTCCAAAGCCTCCTCTCATGAAAATGTCTTAAGAATAAGGACAAAAATCCACAGTTTGAGAATGTTTCAGTAGGAGGATGGGTGAACATGGCACAGGGGGGAGCAGTGGGAGCCAAAAGGAGTGGGAAACTGGAAAGGAAGGGTGTGTGTGTGTGAGCAGATGGAGAATATAGACACCAGGAAGGAGAAATGGTGTGGGGAGGAAAAGGAACTAAAAGAACAGGGAAGCAGCTAGGCTTTGTGTCCTGAAAAGCCATAGAAAAAGTAGGCACACATTTTGGAGTCCAGAGCACAGGTCTGTGGAAAAATAATGGTACTTCTTTCCATGCTAGCAGACCTATTATTCACTCATCCTTCCATCCATTCATTCAGGTATCCCTTTATTAGCTCCTATTGACTCATTAATTTATCTCTATTAAGTTATCGTCACTTATTGGTCCATTCACTCATTATCATTTAACTGTGCATCCTGTTTTGGCCAGAAATTTGAATCCCTGCTCTCCAGAGTCACTCTGGATGCTTTTGAAAATGCCCATTTTTGGATGTCACCCCCAGACCCATGGGATCTGAATTTTTCAGACTCATCCCAGATAGTCATAAGTACTAAAAGCTCCTCAAAAATAATTTTTGGGCTTAGGAATGTCTCATCCAGATAGATTCTTCCTGAATTAAACAGACAAAAGATCAGATAGTCAGAGCCAGAGAAAACTGGGCTCTGGATGGTCATCTATTTGGGGGAGAAAGAGGCTGACATGATCTGGGGAGGTGGGCATGAATGAGATATTCAGTCCATATCAGGTCACAAAGGCCACCCAGGAATTAATCATGTTTTCAAGTGACACAAAAGCCATAGTAGAAGTGATACCAATGAGATCACATTTATGGAGTTTTCCCACTGTGTTAAGCATTTCCCAAGCATCATTTGATTTAATCCTTGTAGGCATCTTCTGAGAGGGACATTTTTTTTTTTTTTTACCTCATTTTGATGATAAGGAAGTTGAGGCTCTGAGAAATTAGCTAGGTCCCTTGACCAAGGTCACATAACTACCTCATGGAAAAGCCAGGTTTAGAGCCAGATGAATCTGTGCAACTCCAAAGTCCACACACTTGGCCATGGTATGGTGATGCTTCTCCTAAAGTATAGACAAGGTTTGGAAGGAAAGCGAGAACTCTTCTGTGAGATGCCTAGCACAGGATAGACAGAGACTATGAAGGAGAAAGAGAGTAGCAGAGAGATGGAGAGTGAGGCGAGAGAGAGATCGGAGACCACAACTGAGACAGTGAAGAGAGACAGGATGAAGAGAGGAAGATAGGAACAGAGAGAGTGAGGAGAATAAACTATGAGGCAGGGGTGACGGTGGAGCAGGAGTTTATGGACTTCCCTCTTGTGAAACTCAGCAGAGAAAGCCCTTTAGGAATTTATGACTGTAACAAGAAGCTGAGTCTTCTTTTTTTTTTTTTTTTAAATATAGATGCTATAAAAATCTCCTGGGAAATTTGAGGTAAGTTAACCAAAACATAAAATTATAGAGTACTTAATAATTTACTCATTCACACCTTTCTTCACTTACTCTTACAAGTCTTGAGTTACGACTTACATGCTAAGCACTGTGTTGGAACCAGGATCAAGCAGTGAGCAGGGCCTGTGGGCTCACAGTGCTGGTGGAGACAGTGTGGTGAGTGATTAAAACAAGAAGTGAGTTCTGAGAGAGGGAGGCACACAGGTTCTGAGGGCCTGTAATCAAGGTAGCAGAATGAGTCTAGCAGCCTCAGGGAGACTTCAGAGCTCTCTGGAGTGTGGAGGGTGAGAGGTTAGTAGGAAGTGTTTTGGGAAAAAATACCCAGGGGCAGGGAGGATACAGCCCCTCTGAGTTGCTGGGAAGAGTGTTCATCCTCGTTTTAACCATTGCCTCCCCAGCTCTGTGTGTGGGCCAGCCAGAGCCACAGAGAAAAACTTGCCTGTGCCTCACAGCATGGATGCCAAGAAGACTGGGGGTTGGGACTAAAATCTGAGTCTCTAGAGAATTTGGATGGGGGACAAAAATTAAAACACTTTTTATTTTGGTGACTTCCAGTTTCTTCTCTCGCTGAGCATATGAGCTGTCTTCCTCTAGGTTATCTGTCAGGGGGATCCCAATCAAGGGTTGGGAGTTCTGCACCCTGTTACTCTGACCTGTTGTAGGAAAATGCTAAGAAGGGGACAGATGAATCTCTTGGGAAGACACTGCCCACCCCGCCGTTATCTCCAGAACCCAGGGTGATGGTCAGCATGAAGGGTAGATGTGTTATATCCATCACTCTGAGCTCTAGAGAGTTGGCAGCTTATAGAACCTGATCCAGAGGGCACAGCTCTTCAAAGGGGATTTTGGACATTTCACACTGACTCTAGAAGTTTGCATTTATAGTTGGAGTATGAAAATATCAGAGCAATGTTCATTTACATCTATTTCATCTTAGTCCTTTTTTTCTGTTGCTATAACAGAGTACCTGAGGCAGGTTAATTATAAAGAAAAGAGTTCTGGAGGTCCAAAAGCACGATGCTGCCATCTGCTTGGTACCTTGTGAAGGTCCTCTAGAGAGGTAGAAGGGGATATGGCTGCTTGCAGGAGGGACAAAGCACATGGGGTGGCCTTGGTTTATACCAACTCACTTGCACAATAACTAATCTAGTCTTACAAGACCTAACTCACTCCCAAAGGACCTAAAACAGCCTTGACAGACCTTATCCATCCATTCATGAAGGCAGTATCCCCATAATCTAATCACCTCCCAAAGTCTCACCTCCTGATGCTGCCAGATTGAAAAATTAGGTACCAATACAAGTTTTGGCAGGGACGAACCATACCACAGAATATTCATTCAACAAACATTACTCAGTGCCTACTATGTGACTGTCTTAGGAGCTAAGGATAACTGCCATGAACCAGATAACACCATGCCTTCATAGTACAACTTGAAGAGCCTTCGAGTCTCACTTTTTCATTGCCTAGAGAGGTAAACTGAGGCCCATAGAGGCAGAAGGGAAACATTTTGCACATGGTCGCACAGTGGGAAGGTGGCAGAGGAGGGACTAGAACTCATGCTTCTCACTGTCAGGCAAGCATGTGTTCAGGGCTCCAGGTGAAGAAAGGACAGATCTTTTCCTTTTTTTTGATGATACTAAGATTTGAACTCAGGGCCTCACCAAATCTTTTCTTATTGAGAACATATAGAATAAGTGGAGAGAGTCTGATCAAGAGGGATGGCACAAAGGTATTGATGACTCTCTACATTTTGTCAAATCTTTTAATTAATTAGTTAATTTTTATTAGCATATAATAGTTGTACAGGGGGCTACATTGTGATATTTACATATGTGTGTGCAGTATATCTTAGATTTACCCCCTCCATCACTCTCTCTCCTCCCCTTCCCCTTCTTAGAATAATTTCAACAGGTTTCATTCTTTTATTTTTATATATGAATATAAAATACATCAACCATATTCATTGTCATTCACCTTTTCCTCATGCCCACCCCCTTCTACTGGTACCCACTCCTGGAAATGACCTCAAGCCTTTCACTTCAGAAGAGTTTTAGATTTATAGAAAAATTGCTCATATAGTACAGAGAGTTCCCTTATATTGCACACCCAATTTCCTTCATAATTAACATCTTACATTAGCATGATATATTTGTCAGAATTAGTGAACCATATTGATACATTACTATTAATTAATGTCCATCCCTTGTTTAGATCTCCTTACATATTTTACCTAATGTTCCTTTTTTGTTCCAGGATCCCACATTCCATTCAGGCATCTTGTCTCCTTAGGCTTCTATTGGCTCTGGCAGTTTCTCAGACTTAGTGTTAGTTGAGGATTACTGGTCAGGCATTTTGCCCTATGTGCTTTTTCAAACAAATATCTTTTTATTCTTATTTACCAGGCACGTGCTGGGAGATGAGGAGACAGCAATCAATAATACACAAGTGATTCTTGCTCTTTTGGAGTTTAACAATCAATAGTGAAGTGCAGAAAGCATCACTGTAGGGAGAGTACAGAATGTTGTGGAGGCAAACACAGATCTTTTGGTCTGCAGCACAGAGTGGTCAAAAGCCAGAACTAATGCATGGACTGAAAGCACAGATCCACCTTCAGTTCCATCAGTGTTTACCTTTTTTTTTTTTTTTGGTGGTGCTGGGGTTTGAACTCAGGGCCTTGCACTTGCTAGTCAAGCATTCTACCACTTGAGCCAGGCCCCCAGCCCCCATCAGTGTTTAAATGTCTGACACTTCTTTCACCTCCAAAGCTACCTTAGTACTCATTTTCTCGTCTGTGACTGGAGCCTT